TCTCAAAAACGCGTGCTGGAATAAATATGTCAGTCACAGTTGACCTGTGAAACTAAGAGCACAACTTAAGCTTTACCCGAAGCTTGAAATTGGAGAACATATCATCTCAGTCTGGCCGATTAACTCCACTTTAAACATCTCTAGCTTTTTATTGCGACATTCTCCGTCTATGTAATATTGTGATTTCTACATAAGTTCAGTAACATCTGTAAACCTGAAGAAGGCTGTTATGGCCAGCCGAAATATTGTTATGTTTAAAAATACACCTTGTTCTGAATCAGCTTTGCAGTAGTCTTCGGACCTCTCGTTCTTGGATCATTAGCTGCCATTGTTTTTCTTGATCCGCCCTTGTCTGTTCCGCGGGCATGCAAAAATATCGCATGCTATAAGTGCTTTGGATAGGTTAATATCCAAAAGTATATTGTAGAAAACTTTTTGACCCAAAACTGGAATTTTCCTTTCATATAATATGCGCTCAACCCCCCTTACTGAGACAAAGGATTTAAAAAGTGTATCACAGACATACAATTTAATTTATATCAGGTTGTTGAGAAATACCACTTGATTTACTGTTGATGTAGTTGGACTGTGCTGTGCGATACCTAAATTTCTTGGCACAAGCAGGCATCTGATGGGCCTTGCAGACCGCGGCATTACTCTTTATATCGGCTATTTGTGCTGTTAGTCAGTGTCTTTTAATGAACCAGTTGCAACGTGCTCAGCCTTATCTTTCAAGCACTGAAAACTGAGAGAATAGCTTTCCAAGGTACGAAGAAAAAAAATCACATAAAATCCAACATAAGGAGAAAAATTCTTGAACTGTGTCATCATTGACAAATGTTAACTAATGCCGCCTTACCGGGGGGTTGGTGGGGGCACCTCAGGTCCTCTGGCTGCTCTCTAGTAACTCTTCAAATAGTTTATTTATGTGGCATGAAAAACTGACAAAAACGACGACTGTAAGTCTTTTCTGAATTTTCAATCATCGCGGTGAAAAGTCATTAAAAAAACTATTTTATTAGATGCACAAAATATTTAAAATTGCTTTTCCGACGATCAAGATTTCAATATTTTGAAACGGCGAGTTTTGGGTAGGCTACTTTATAACTACTTGGGGCATAGGATTTCTTGAAAGTAAAACAGAAAAATATTCAGGCAGAAATGCCGTGCGAAATGGTAAGAAATAACTTGGACACAAACGTTCAGTTGCATCGAAAGACATTTTCCGAGTTCTGGTTTGGCTTTTAGAAGATCTTATAATAAAACATCATTCGGAATGTAACGTGATTTAGTTACAAAATGAAGCCAAAGCTAATTCTTCATCTTAACTTGTAAGACGAGCATCAACATGATAAAAACCACCACATTCATCCCATTTGTGTTGTGAATAAAAAGATACTCAGAATTAAAAAAAGTCGTAGGGCAGGGATTATATCGAGTGTAGAGAGCTCAATGAAAGCGGAACATTTTACGGTTGTCTGGTTGCTGAGTTTACAATATCCAGGCTAGTATAATTGGAATTCAGTTTTGACGAAGTGTGATTTCAAATGAGAATTATAAATCTTGGTAGTTGTTCTCCGGAAGTCGATTTCAAAATTCGTTGTGTCAGTTTCAGAAAACTGAAGATCTCGGAAAGTAAAATGTCGCTTTATATGTTAAAACATGATAGAACGTGTTTGCTAAATGAGGTTCAAAAGCCACTGATCTATTAGGCTCACTAGGTGTGAGAAGATCAAACCGTATTAATTTTCGCATGGTTTTATCTCCCAGCTTTAAAAAAGTTAATAAGCCAGGCGAGCATGTTCTGCTAGAAACGTGATCACGTAAATCTGTGAAAAAATGAGATAATATTGGTAAAATTGAATGTGACAATTGCCGTATTCCTGTGCTTTAAAGAACCCAGTCCCTTTTGTATTAAATAAGTAAGAAAACAAAGATGAAATTAGAAACAAATTGTCTAACCTCATTGTTATCAAATGTGTTGTGCATCTTCAAAAGGAGCCGACGTATGCCAAATATAGGAAAACAAACGGGAAACTGACCCCGAAACACACAAAAAATAAATGCAAAATACACAAATGTCGCCAAATTAGTTCCTAAGTTTCAAAAAAGACAATGGATCTGAAATGGAGAACAATCACACGTAGTTTTTTTTTTTTTTACTGCGCTTTCAAAAGACTTGTTCCATGTCGTTAGTAATTTGAAAACGTTGTCAGCGATACTAAGCCAGTGTGATATAAACTGGAATTTTGTCCGTTGTCGAAAACCAAAAGAAAGTACTTACAGTAACTAGCAACTACTGAGCCAGTCAGCTTTTTATAACACTTCCCGTCAACCTTATATTGAGAGTTGTTATACGGAAAGAAATGACCAATACCCGACCGCATAAATCTTAATCACCCAGTTCTTTTGGTACGGAAAACTGGACTTCTTGTTTTGCAGAAAAAAGTTATTTGATTAGTTTTAAATGTTCCAAAATGTGTACAGCTTTTGCGTACGTTGTGTATTTACATAAAAATGTATC